ATTCATTTTTCCCATTGACCTTTAAACTGGATGACTTTCATCAATGGCTCTTCCGAAATCATCCGTCATGATGATTCCATGATCTATGAACTCCCACCTGGGGGACAAATATTTCTCGAAAAGGTGGGAAGAGTTGTTTCTTATTGCATTGATTTATCCATTACCCCTAATTATGTAGCATCCACAGTGTAGAGAGGACAATTAAAATGAACAAAACATCTTTTCTTTGTGATGATTCCGGTTCCTTTACCACCTCAATAATTCCAATAAGAATCAACCTGATGGAATTCAATGAAACCAATTTTCGGGCACATGGCTAGTCTAGTCTGCAACTGACTCATCGAAATTGATAGATGCACAAGAGGCGCCAATAGAATTTCAGGCAAATGATTAAGGTTAGACAGCATTACAGTCATCTCTGTGGTGTTACCAACACCCCTGGTGGATCTTCATTTCTGTATGGACAGAGATTAATCTGATCCTCTATTTAAATCTCTGGATCTAAACATGATTGACAAGGATTTTTTATCCGAATTTATATTCTGGGAGTGAATATTTGAGAAATTAGGCCTTTGGATCTCACTCAAAACTCAAATATTTAGTATTTAAATACCTTATAAGTTGAAATTGTGTACCACAATTTCAAGAACTTCAAAGCTCCCATCTTAAAAAAACCTTATTGCGCTAAAAAATATTAAAGTGTGAAAATATTTTCTCTCATAAACACTGATTTGAAGAACACCAATTTGCACACACAAATCGCCTTGTGTGATAAAACGATTTGAAAGAAATTCAAAAATGCCTTTTCGAAGATTGCAAATGTGAAAAAGGCATATAAACAGATGAAACTTAACCTCACTACTGCTCTCTAAATGAAAATAAACTAACCAACGAACAGGGTCACAAATTAATCGATAATTCTATCTTCGTTATAATTTTGGCACAATCTTTCATAGACATTTCAATTTTTAAGCAACTAGAATGAAAGTCATCTGTTTATGAATTGGTGAAGTCTGCGTGGCAATGTTGCAGAAATTTGGCCACCTTTTAATAGCCGGCAAATTAGATGTGTTTTGCTATAGGCATAAATGCAAAATAGTGCACAAATTTGATGAGGTAAAATCACAAAGCCCAAGTTAGGGGTCAAGAATTTGATGACCTTTGGTGGATATCTGGCCAATCACACCGACAGGCGGTGAGATTCTTAACAGAATGGGTCTCAAATGCCTTCCCTCTACAGTTGATAAAAAAATTCACCTCAAATTTTACCCAACTATTCACCTACTTGCCCTTTAGCCAATTACCGGGATAGCTGCGATAGCCCAAGTTTACAAAATGTTCCATAGATTTGACTGCCTTTTCGTTAGATTCCCACTTACGTATAATGGCATGCAAATAGTGGTTGCTTTAGGCGATATGAAAATTGCTAAAAGTACAATTTAGTTTGTGTGACTTCACACTTGGAACCTAATCATCACATCACCGACTCATGATTACATTAAGATCAATGATGAAATATGGGGGGGGGTGTGATTGACTTACCTCCACGTGGTGCACCCTGGACACCGTATACTCATACGACAAAAAGTCTATTACCTGGCAGTTGACTTCTGACTTCAAACTACCATCACCCCACCGTATGTCATATTTGACCGCTTTCACAGTACTCATCTTACCTTTTCTCTGCCTTTGTGTCTGTCTCATTTACATCTTCGTAACACTCTTCTGTTCCCTCCCTCCGTGAAGCCTGAAGTCAACTAAAAGGCTTATGATCACCATCAAAACGCCTGCCATTTGATATAATAATAATGATGAAATATGCTCCATCGGGGGTTACCATATTTATCCAAAGATGGTCATAGGGCCTTTCGTCAAGCATGTATCCTCCATCCTCCTGCAATGTTAGGAAGTCCAGTCGCTGTCCTTATTACATATCTCCCGCTGCAGTTAGCTCCTTTTGGAGGAGGAAAATAAACGAATAAAAACATTGTATTGTATAAATTCGAGTTAGCTTCAGGTTGTATTGTTGTTGTTTTTGTTGCTGTTGTTGTTGTGGGAGAAATCAGATACTATCATGCTGTCAGACTATCCGAGGCAATGGGCTCCGTACATCGATGGGACGGTAGGCGACTTAGAGACAACGCCACCTTTTATTTGACCTTTGTTTTTCTTTGTCCGAATCCCACCATTTTCAGATTTTACGTCTCCCTGCCAATTTTTCATGGGATTACAATTGTGTTAAACAAGCACACCTACATCAACAGAACCTTGCCTTCAATTATCTTTACAAAACTTAATCCGTACAAAACGATTCTAATATGATTATCAACAAACATTTTCTGAGAGTAAAAATAATATCTAACTAAATCTCGGTAGACCTATGAGGGCTACCTTTTACCAGCTTAAAATTGCCACGTCCTTAAAGGAAAAATTTCGGGCATTGATATGAAAACTTCTTTTCAGCTACTTACGACCTGCTAAACCGATTAAATTTGAAGAACTTCAGAGTTGATTGTGCATCAATGGATTTTGTTTGCGTTATCTTCAATTGGCAAACATTGTTGACATTAATATCTCTAACATGTTGTTTTGGAACGCAGCCTATATTTTTGACTAGTCCTAACGCTAAGATGTTGTTTTTTTCGAAATGTCAATAGACTGCAATGGAAGATCTCTGTCCATTTCCAGAATTAAATCATCAGTTGTGGTAACACATTACGACACATTAAAACTTTACTGCCTTTTTTTAGTTCCCCAAACCGGGCAAGAATTCGGAACGGAGTCTACTCTCACATTTTGTCCAGTATGCAATCAGAAAGTCGTTACTCATGTTGATATCAAGCTGAGCAAGGTGGCTCAAACTTGTGCGATAATAATTTGCCTTCTTGGGTAAGTTTTGAGTTTAATATTCTTACTCAAAGTAGCTGTTTTATTTGTTGAGTGATATTTATTATTTCTGTCTACTTATTTTATTTAAGTAAATGTATTTCCCCTTAGAGGTTTTTTTGGGTGCTGCCTCGTGCCGTTGCTTATACCAGCGATGAATGACGCAATACACTCCTGCCCTAGATGTGGAACGATTGTCGGAAAGAGTAAAAAAGAATGATGTAAAGCAATACGGTTATTTTCTCTTGAATTTTATCATTACTTTGCATCGTTCTGTAAAATAAATATTCCATTAACTAATCGTCTTCATTCTCCAAAGAAATAGCTTGTTTATGCTTTAATGAATTTAGGCACATTATTAATTAAGTGGCCTAATTTTTGGTTCCCTTCTTCATTTATCCCAATTTAGCAGACAGATTTCCTACTAAATAGGCCTTTTTTCATTTAAACCTATGGTAACAGAGAATAGATCTATGTGTTAGGATAGCATAAACGACCAAAATTAAATGTCCTATAAATAACAAGAGAAAGACCTTTAATCCAAGTTCAGAAATATGATTCTGAGCACCTGTTATGCCCGGCAGATTCTCAACAGCTGCGGAGGATAAATGCATTCACGCAGAAAAACAGAAGTAATACTTTTTTTCGATAATGTTGTATTAATATAAATTTAAGAAATCTTGACAACCATTTCACATCTGTATATATGATGCACTGCTATCAACACACCTATCACTTAATTTTTTGTAATATTAAGAAATTCGGTGTCTGATTGTGGATATGTAATAATTATAAAAATTGATTAAACTTTGTAGAATTATGTTACTAAAAGGCAAATTTGGATCCATCTTTACTTCGGCAGATAAAAAATAATAAAAATATAAAGAAGAGATAAACTATTTGTGAAATCGTTATCTTCAAACCATTTTATTGACTGGTTCAATTTCTAAATACGATCAAAAGCACAATTGGAAACAATTAGGTTAAATTCGCAATTATTCCAAAAAGAGTGTTCACTCTCATTTACCGATAATTATTCGAAATTGCCTGAAACATTGCACACGACTCATAAAAATCTTGACTATAATAACAACTCACATAGGTACCTGATTGACTTACCTCCACGTAGTGCACTCTGGGCAACGTGTACTCATGCGACATAAAAGTCTATAAACCGACAGTTGACTTCTGACCTTGATCACTTTCACAATACTCACCTTACCTTTTTCTCTATCTCGGTGTCTGCCCCTTTTACATCTGTGAATCACTCTTCTGTAACCCCTACCATCACGACATTTGTGGTTTTGACGTTCCTCCCCTACGTGGAGCCCGAAGTCGACTAATGAGCTAATGATGGCTTTTAAAAAGTGATATGAAAACAAAGTGATAGAGGGCCAGTAAATTTGTTTTGGGATGTCATTTGTTCTTATTAGAAGGAAAAGTATTGGAAATCTTACTGGAATGTCATTCACTGCACAATTGCCAGAACTAGACTGATGACGGCCGTTGATCTTAATCACAGGAACTTAATAAATTATTTTTGACTTCAGATACAGTCATTAAGTCAAGTGTTTCCAGAAAGATTCGGTGAATTAACTTCAACAAAGACGTACTTGGGTGATAAAATAAAGTCAACGAGAGCTCATATAGGTCTCTCTGTGGCTATTAATATAAAATGCCAGAAAATAAAGTTATTATTTTAAAATTCATATAAGAATTTTATAATTGTTTATCGAAAATGACTGAATCCATGTAATAAGGTTATAACTCTAAACCTCAGCCTCTAATATGTGAAAACGTTGAAAAATATTCGAAAATGTGATAAATCTTTATAACTTTATGCTTCCAACACTAAGGATTATAAAAGCTCAAAATTTTCACCTGATATTGAATATTTAATGATCATGACTTTCTAATTTTAATTTATTTTGGCGTTAATTTGAATATTAATATATCTTCAATGGATTACTTATAGAGTTTTTAGAATTTTAAACCAGTTTTGTTTCCTACGGATGATATTGGCTTCGACTGGCCTATCATATTGGGCAAAAGTAGCGCTAAAGATAAAGAATGGGCTCCAAGGTGTGGTTTTGTTACTAAGCCTATTTTTGTAGGAAGATATTCAAATTACTGCTGCTGATCAAGCAAAAATAAACAGCTTTGCCAAATCTAATATAAAACTAAAAGAATACGAGGCAGAGCTGGAAAATAAAAAGGTATGTGAGTCATAGTTGTCTATGAATTTCTTTTAGAATCTTCTCCAAAATCTTAATGATTTGGAAGATGAGCTCTTATTAACAGAAGCCGAATTTCATCCGCAAGTTTTTTATTCTTACTTTTTATGGATAGATGCTTTATTGGCATTGTGACTTTATTGATCAAAAAGCTTTGATCCAGTACTAATGTCATATCATATAAAAATTTAGCATTCATGCTTTACTTAGTTGGGTATTTTGTATTGCATGACATGTCAAATGTTTGGTTTCTAATCTTTCAGTTTTACTTTCGTGTTGTTAAGTATCTTAGTTTAACTTTTACCATTTGTAGTTTCAAAATAGGCGAGTCATTCTTTCACCTTTCCACTGATGACACAAATGAGAAAATTGAAGAGCAGAAAAAGATGCTCAAGGACCGTCTTATTACTCTTGAGTCCGAATTGGGTGATTGCAAAGTCACCATGTCAACTTTGAAGAAGGAATTGTATGCGAAATTTGGCGATAACATTAATCTTGAAGAATCATAAAACTATGACTGTCCTCACTAATACACTGTTTATATTGTAAATGTGTCTATTTTCTTATTCGTTTTTTACGTGGTAATTTTCTCACCCTTTTGGTTCAGCGTTAGAGAACGTGCATTTTCCAATTTCTTGAATGATAAATTACGTAGTAATTTCCGACTATTTATTTTTTCCCTTGTATTTATGGAACAATATATTTTCATTTAACTTTTCCACTAACCAAGTGGTTGCTGTTTTATCGTGTATAAAGTAGTTGCTAAAGTCGTTAATTCTCAATCCTCGCGTCATGGATAATAAGTGGGAAAAACATTTATTAGGAATCATGCTATTTTCTATATGGCATGGCATTTCATCTCTCGCTTTTAAAAATTTCTCAAAGGTGACTATACTACCCAATGGTTATCCTAGATGGTGAACCGTATAACCTGCCATCTGTTTTAATGTTGTGTTAATCAATATTGCCATCTACCTGATGTTAAGGCATCCCCAGTATCAAAAACAACAGCCTGTTTTCTTCGGAGATGAACAGTGGTGACCGCTTTGCATAATTTTATCTCTCAAAACTTGGTTATCACTCGTTCACCTAATTTAAATTCTCCTATCCTCTAGTTCTTCCCCATTCCCAGCTTCCCAAATGAGCACGTGGTCATACTCAGCTTCAGGTTTTCTGATTTTGGGAAAGGCTGTTTTATTCTATCAGATTTCAAGTTCACTCCTCCCTTTTCGGGCAAATCTCAGAGTCCAACTTGATCGGGAGCTTGAATTACTTCTATTGACGGGAATTAGTGCTATACCACTTTGCAAAGATCATCACAATGTACTGTCACAACACAGGTGATGTGAATCTCTTATAGTTAGGGTTCTTGTTAGCCTTGTTAAAATGAAAACTTTATGACAAAGAAGAAAGGACAGAATCAAACTACGCATATATCTTGCATTCAACAATGCGGCGTAAAAAAGTATCATATATGAAACACGTATATGAGGCCTTGGGCACAAAGTAGGAAAGAGAGTTTCTGGGATTTGGGGGGCGGGGGGGGGAGGGGAAGGCGGATGGAAGAGATGTTTGTGGTGTGGTAGTGGTGGAATCAGAGAAATTGAGCAGTAATTGCTGTGTGAATGTGCATTTTTTTGTATTTGTATATGCATTCCTTTGGTGAATCGTGGTACTACAAGCGTGCATTTATATATGCATCTCACTCTGTAACTTTAAATTGGGTGAATAGATCGTCCAACAGCTATAAAATCACCATTCAATTCGTCTTCTGTGTTGAAGGCGATGTTGTTTTCTCCTTAGAAGAGTCCGTTGTGGAAAAGGCGGATTCCAGCTCCGTGTTCTCGTTCGGTATCTCTCCTGTTTTATTCATCTGCAAAAGAATACGGACGTTATATGAAATCCTTTGCATCCTTTCATTAATTGCGTTATTTTGGCTATAGAAGAATTGGGGTGTTGGAATTCGGTATTTCAACAATTGGTCACACAAGACATTGACCCAATTTAAGTAGACCTCATGACTGTAATTTATAAAAAGACCAAATTCGTTGAGATCTTGAAACCGATCCTTCATTGCCGCCCTTTCCAGAATCTAGCAAGGAATGTGCTCTTTTTAGCTGATATGAGGCATCTACATTCAACATGTTTGACTTCTATTTCACACATTATGAAGTCACAGCGAGGTGTAGTGCCAAAGAAAGCACAAACCACGACCTCACGAAGCCAATTCGTTTGAAAATCTTGTTCAATGGATTCCCTAGAAATAACTTGTTAAGAAATCTAGACGTAGTTCACTTAGCGAAGTTATTCTATTGTGTTACCAATAAGGATTAAGAGGCAAACAGTGAAGTGTGATTAGCCAATTACAATCCAGACCCGTAAGCCAAAATAAACTGTGAAATACAGCAACGAAATTTTCCCGTAAATATCCCTCGAATGCTGTGGAACGTTACGGACAATATCATTGAGAAGTTAAGGCCTGACAACATAAACTGCTTAGATAGAACTATGAGGAAAATCGCAGTATCCCACTGACGATCAAAGTTAAGTTGCTATATGCCAGAGTAGTTTATTACACGAGCTTCTTACCTGGAATGTATTTTCAGGTGAGCCATTGTTATCACAATCGCTCCCATTTTTAGAAGGGGAAGAGGGTGCAGAGGAGAGAATAATAAGGGGTGAGCGAGACAAGCTATCATGTCCGACTTCCTCAGGGACAGCCGACAGCGGCTCACCACCATCTGTCGTGTTCACCATATTCCTAGCAATCAATAGGGGCACCATCTTCGACGGTTCGAACCCCCTCACCTGTTGGGACTGATGGATTGGCACCTCGGGAGACTCGATAATTGCTGGATGGTTCAAAATGACTGCTGGTGGAGGGGGTGGACTACATGAAGGCACATTGTTGTTGGTGTTGGTATTAAGAGACGAAGGGTCTGGCTTTTGGCGACTGCTTTTATCTTTTCCTCCTTTAATTGCCGCCTTTCCTCCTCCTTTTTGCCATTTCTTCTTGGATGATTTGCTGCGACGTTTCTTTCCATTCTCACCTGCGGCATCAACAGATCGTTCTAACACTCGCTTGTGAGCCATTTCTGCGGCCAGAAATCGGTATTTTGCATTCTCGAGGTTCACAAGGGTCTGTCGCCTCTGCATTCCATCTTGCTCTCCTCCAGGTTGGCCAGCATCTATTGACCTATTATGATTTTGGTTTTGGGGGCTATTAGGAGGTTTCAGGGATGAATGCGCAGCTATTGTATTTCTTTTTTGGTGAGGATGATGATAAGGGGAGTGGGAGGAGTTTAGTGCATGATGCTGTTCATACAGAACTGTAGCTTGAATCGCATGCTCATTTCCGTAAGCAGTAGTGGGAGTTGTAGGGGATATTCTAGAGAGGAAATAATTTGGTCCCTCATAGCTTTCCGATTCAGTAAGTGGATGACGTGATGGAAAAGCGCCTACGGGGTTGGTGGTAGAACCTCGATAGGAGGGCTTTGGAACTCCCACAATGGAAAGGCGCTTGAGGTTGGGCACGGAGAGTTTCTTTTGAGCATAAGGAATGGCAGAGAGCTTTTGAACCGGGTTCATAGGGTTGGGTTGAGAGGGATGGTGAAATGGCGCGCCACCGAAAAGGAATTCGGCATCGTGCATACTGGTTGTAGAGGTGGAGAGAGCCACATTGGGATTAAAGAACGAAGCCCGACGTGGCATCATATACTCAATTTGTTGGAAGGATTGGGTAGAGAATTTGCGGTGGAGCATTTCATTCAACTGCTTACTTGATAAGCGGGGGGAGTTGAGATTTTCTCTAGCGTGAAAATGATCTCCACCCTCTTCGCACACTGTCAGGCAGGTGTGGCTCAGGAGGTTGGAGAGGTAGATGGGGTTCTGACGCCATAACGCCTCAAATCGTCGGGTCTACAATGAAAAGGAATAGTTATTACCGGATGTTTCCCGCTTGAATGCTCTTACCCAGATCCAAAGTTAATGATTACTGATTTGGCTGATCCCCATTCCCGATCACTTTCCGTTAGAACTATTGTTTAAAGATCAAGCATTCAATGAACTAATCACCAATCCTTTTAGGCACATAAAGACAACACAATAAGCCATGTTGTTTTAATTTCTTAAAGGCATCTCTAGGATGATCTGTTCATGTCCACATTACAAACGATCAAACCTCGCTTCCCCTTTTATAGCCCCCAGGTCTAGACAATTAACTAGTACTTGAGGCAGTGATTTACGCTCTGCGATTATCGTGCTCGACTGTGAAGCATCGCTTACATTTATCTTGAAGTGTGTGTGTGAAGATTATCTCAGTCCACAGTAAAGCAATGATAAGTGTGACAACCTGGCTGCATAGAAGAAAGTAGAACCAGTTTGTTAGCTGATCGGACCAATGGTATTTGGTATCTGATTAAAAAACTTCAATAACAAAACTAGAAATGATATGCGAGTTTCTTCATGGCACCTTTTGAAAAATTAAACTAAGTGGGGCAGTGAAAACGCAGAGGTCTCGAGTCCCTATTACCAAACTCCATACTCTTTACCTAATTTATGTCATTGCTGCCATAGGTATGCAACCGCCTGCCAAAGTAGTGTAATGTTAAAAGATTCTTTTAAATGAAAGGATATATGTTAAACAAAATGTATTAGATACCTCATCCTCATACAGCATCGTGAATGCTTGCGACAGGCAGACCGTGCAGTGATACCGATAGAACAGGAAGACAGGCATAGTGATGGCAATCAGGACCCATCCATAGGCAATCTCATCTCGAACAGTGATATTGTAAAGAATGTCTGCCTCCTTCAACTGGAAAGACTTAACCACCCATCCAGCGAGGTTGATTCCAAGCAGTACAGCAATCATTTGACGTCCTGGTTTAATCCTCTGCTGAAATTCCTCTTCGCTGCATCTTCTGAAGCAGTCTTGAATCAGGTAGGTCTGAAGAAGCACTTCTACCAGCTCCAGCATATTTAGAGCAAGCCGGCCCATCAGTAGGTCCTTATGAATTTTCTGATTGAAATGAAAGTTATCAATGAGGGTGAAAATAACTAACTACTAATTTGAAATAAGTAACAAAAACCCATACATTATCAGTGACTCGGTTGAAGTAGCTAGTCAGTGCAACGGTAGCAACGAGGTAATTGGCGGAGAAGAAGAACGCAATGTACAATACGAACTCATCAATGACGCTCTGTCGTGAAGCAATGGTGAATTTGAGGTGGCGCAGTTTAAAAAACGAGGCCAGTGATACAAAAATGCCCATGCAATTGAGGAACATCTCCTCCGAGAAGAGAACAGCACTTTTCCAGGGTGATATCGTCTCGTTTTCTGCCTTGGGTGCGACACCTGTAGTCACAGTGAGAGCGGAGATGGTTAGGACTATTAGGAGTGGTGCCCAATAACCGGACTTGATGTTCATTCCACAGTGGGTAATACGGGCTTTGAGCTAGTTGAAAGGTAAGGAAGTAGGTAAGGAAAGAATCCATATTTTAATGGAAATTACTAAATGTTTCGATAACAATGAAATGATATAATGAGTGTTATCCACCAGAATGCCTGTGAGATATTTTCTCAAGTAAAAAACATTAATACTTTCAGGTACCCCCACCTCTGTTTTGTTAAAATCGAGTGGATTACTTAACATCATGTAACATCATTCTCCATTCGGCGCCTATGAAAGAGGCAAATAAATAAGTCATTAAATAAAAATCGTTTACCAGAAATAAAACAGACAGATGAATAATTGGGGGGGGGATTATAATTTTTGAAAATAAACATCCATATGATTAATTCATTAAAGTAACCACAATTGTAGTCGAACAGGACATAAAAATTTAATTGATAGATGTAAAACTCTCTCTCTCGTGAAGTAGCAACCTTGTGAGTTTTGTGTTTATATTCAACCCATTCATGTTAAATTCTCTTGCGAAAAAATACATGGCAAATAAAGGAAGCAGAATTGCGATACACCTCTTCGTAAATGCCTTTTCAGACTTGTGAGATGGTTTGAAGTAGTGATTTGCGGTGCATCTGCTATTAAATCCTTGAGCAGGGGGTGTGTGATAGACTTACCTCCACGTGGTGTACCCTGGGCAACGTATACTCATACGGCAAAAAAGTCTATAAACCAGCAATTGACTTCTGACTTCAAACTACCACCACCCCACTATATGCGACTTCTGACTTCAAACTACCACCACCCCACTATATGCCATATTCGACCCCTTCCACAGTACTCATCTTACATTTTCTCTGCCTTTTTGTCTGTTTCTGTTACATCTGTGAATCATTATTCTGTCCCCCCCCCCGACTTTTTTGTCACTTTGATGCTCCTCCTTCTCTCTGTGAAGCACAAAGTCAGTTAAATGGCGAATGGTAACTATCAAACGCCTGCCATTTGAAATAAACAAAATTCTTGAGCAAAACCTCGATATGAATGACAGTTTCACCAAATTAGTTGTAAATCAGTCCTCCCCAAATCTTCAAACCTGCATTTTTAGCGTTGTGTATACTTTTTTCATATCAATTACCTACCCCCTCTCAACAACTGGGTGAATTTCCACGGACTTAACGTGGGAACTGAGAGAAAGCACCAATTTACCGGAATAGTCTAAGCTTCGGAAAGAAAATCGCTTCTGTTCAAAGGAGAATGAATCATCACAGAAACGCATGTGTAAATCAACGCTATTTCCTACTAAGGGCTGCCATGTGAAACTCGCAGCTGCAGATTCTCATTGGAAAGGCTTCAAGAGGCTTTATGCGAATGCTAACGGACAAATCGAATTTTATAAAAGACCTCAGGTTCTGTGTGGTCTTTTAATGCCTTGGCACTAATTATTTAATCAATTATCCTTCCCCTCCCTTCCACCAAAGATTAGATTATTAATAATGGCAAATTAGAATAAGCTAATAATTTGCAGATTTTCAATTTTAAAACCCCGCAAAAGTGCAAAGCATTTGCAACCAACACATGCCATACATCAAATACCCTTCAAGTTGTTTACAACATCGTGCATTTCTCGAGGTCACAGAGGGGATAAACTTGTCTTTTAGTGGTCTTCTCTACCAATCCCCCCAACACAGCTGTCCTGGATTGCAGCACGAGAGAATTAGCAGATCAAGAAGTACCATCAAGGCTAGACCCACACACGTATATCTTGGTAAGAAAAAAAAACACGCAAGAAAAATGCTGATGATAACTGCTCTGTGTTCACGTCCGCGATTGATTATGGCTCAGGAAGTCACCGAGGTACGGAAATCAACTCTATTTCTGCGGTTTGGCTGAATGAGTCGGCAAGATAGTGGATAGTGCTCAGAATGCGCGCAGTCGACAAAAATGGCCATATTCAGCAGCTTCAATAAAAGGTGACCCTTAACAACCCCCCCCCCTCAAGTGGAAAGCAGTTCTAGTGGTCAGACAACTTTCAAGTATGCACGTAATTTTGAACAGTGGGGATCTTTAATTTCTGATTGACTTAATCCACACACTCAAACACCGAGTTAAAACAACTGAAAACGCTATCATCTAATAATAAAACCTTCAATGGAATTCAAGGAAAGAGGGCTATTGGGAAACAAGAATTCAAATTTACAAGATAAATACTCCGAGCAAAAAATATTTCATGGCTAAGAGGTAAGTGTAATCCAATTTCCCACTTTGGGGGAGGGGGGGGGGAGGAGGGGGCGGAACGCCTTCGTAGAATCTTTTCACCTAAGATGAATATTGTTGGAAGAAAAGGCTTGGGGTTTGGGAGGAAAATACGATCCCAACGATTTGAATGAAGAAAGTCACATCTGATATCCTTACCATATTCTCTCTCTCTCTCTCTCTTTTCACCTCTCGCAAGAATATTTCACCGATTTCTTTGTGTTTAGGGACTTCCTCGTGAGCATAAGGTGCCAATATTTGACCTTACGCATGGGCATTAAGGGTATTAACCCCTGATCACTATGATTCCTTATACCTTATGCTTTCATAGTGTGGTGCTAGGATAACTGCATCAGAGAGAGCAACTAGAGCCGATGGGAAAAAGCTTTGTACTTTTAACAACTAAACAGCTGTGGAGACTCAATTTAGCCTCAATTAATACTGTGCACGAATCATATACTCTCTCTTGTTGCCACTTATGGGAATGAAATATCGATGAGGTCATTGGGTTTCCAATCTCCAATCCCCTCACTCAACACAAATCACCTAATCAAATCAACTATTTCACAAATTCGCGCATTGAAGATAAAGAAGAGCCAGAATACACACTGTAGGCAATTCAACAAACTTCAAATTTTGCATAATTAGGGTAAAAGAGGCAACTATCTCCTTATGTGCCCAGAGGAGAAATGCTATCTCCCGCTAACATGGCGCGAAAAAGAAAATAATAAAGAGATAGCCTTGATATGAGGTAGGGACAAAAAGGCAGGTTTAAAGCAGCAGCAGCAGAAGGAGGAGCTGTGGAAGTAAGATTTCTATCTCCCTTAAATTACCTCCACCTATCCGCAAAGGAAGTGGCCAAATATAGCCGAGAAATAGAGGCAGACCCAGGAAGTAAACAAGGGAGAGTGAATGTGGCCATGACTATAAATAGACCGTTTGGTTGACGATGGGATGAGATTGATTACCTAATCAAACAACAAGGCGAGCGCGCGCGCGAGGGGGGGGGGAGAGAGAAAGGGTAGCACCGTACAGGTGTGCATGGTGAGGCGTAAATGCTTCTCATCAAAGCACACACACACACACACACACACACACACAATAGGACAAAATTAGAAGGCCCTTGATAAATTTGACAACACGGGGAATAGCAACTCCTTTTGAAAAAGAAAGGAATGCAAGTTCGGGTGTAGTGGAGAGGAGCAGCTCTAAGACTACCATTTGCAGTTCAAAGTGAAGAGGACTTTCGGGTAGAATAACCTGATAGTCTTAAAAATTGAATTCTGGTAAAAAAAGGGAACAAGAAAATTGTGTTGGTTAAAGTCAGCTCAAGTGTTAATCTAAGGTGTTTCTATTGGGGCATCGAAGACAACTCCTACCTAGTGATTTATTTGATCACTCTTATCCTTCCAATTTAGCTCTTTCTAAGTCTTCAAAAATTTCCAAGGTCATCCAACTCATCACGATAACGACTCAAGGCTTTACGGTTGTTCTAGTTAACTGTAGTTGTAAATGACTAAGAACCTTTTTTAGGTTAATTGAAGGTCAAAAACGTATGATAATAACTTTGGGGTGCCCAATTATCAATATGTCAGGTCTTAGTGAGTCAAAGTAAAGACAACTCGAAAAATACCCACATCACGTGACTTGCATACTCCGAGATTGAATAAAGAATTGGCGAAAACTTGTGGATATGTGCTAGAATTAAGCTGATTTTTCAAACCAAACATTATCTTCCTGCCAGCTTGGCTTCAATGAAAATTCTTCCAAGTTAAGGGGTAATAAGCTAGTCGATCAATTGTCATTACAGATCCGATTTTGCATTAATACAAGACGACTATTCACAATTACGTTTCGAACTAGGAAAAATTAAAATGAAACAGCCAGTTCAAGAGAGAGAGAGAGAGAGAGTAGTTGATGAAATTGAATGAAACACACTGTTAATAAAGCGCATGATGTCGCGATAAAACAATAGGTGAATTTTTGAATATATATTCGAACAACAACAACGACACCTATTCTTGGAACTTGGCTTCGCACAATTTCGCGTGTTATGAACCATGAAGTACACTGCAATACATTTACGGAGCTATTATTATTTCAATGCACCGGAAAATGTAATGTAATTGCGGGAGACGAAATGAAAGTGGATGCAAAACAAAAAGGTGTGATGAACAACAACGCACACACACACAGGGATTGGAGTACAATCGAGATAGTATGATTTCTAACTGAACTAAAAGCTAACCACATCCTCAAAAAAGGCTGGCTTTATTTATCCAAATTAGGTTTTTCCCTAGAAATAAATGAAACAAGTAATGAGAGTGATTGATGAAATTACTGCGTGGTTACAAATGAAGGCGCTTTAAATTCGACACCAGTTTTACCCAAAAAGCTTTGCAGAAAGACACAATAGATAGCCTTGGCCGCGTGTTTTCTTTGCTGGATTCATCGTGCTTAATAACATAAAAGACTGTAAAAATATACATATTTTTTATTTGAAAAGAGTAAAAAAATGCCTCACAAATTAGTAATAACAAATATTTATTACGAGAAAGTACATCGCTGGACTATTTCGAGGTTTCTAAAATGTATCCGCAAATTTAGATGAGTTCAATTGGAAACTTCACTAAGTCTCATTAGACAATGTCTTTGATGCAAAAGCAACTCGATTGAATTTACTTCTCCCAAACTACAAGTGGGGTGGGGTGCACGGGTGGGAGAGGGGGGGGGTCATTTATAAAGAAAAGAAAAACAAAAGCAACTGATAC